TTACTTTTTTGCTAATTTCAAAGCCATTTCTAATTGACTTGAATGACATTACAAAAGCAATTTGATACAATTTTGACTATAATGTTATGAATTTTTAATTTAAACTACTTGTCATAGGACCGTAATATCTTAGATGTTTTTAGGATCATGATATCTATCGTCAAACAAAAGTTTCATAAATATCGTCATAAAACAATTTTTAACACTTAATTACAAGAAAACGGCTCGGTCGACCTTACCCAAAACTAAAGTATCAATCCCAACCAATATCATTCGAACAGATTTTGATTTTTTAGAATCGATTCAGGATAGGGAGCTAAAACGTGGACGAAAAGTTTTGTAATTTTATGCAAATAAAAGGAAACGGCTCGACCGATCGTCGCACAAAACTGAGAAGCGATAATCCTGATCGAGATACATCGAATGGCTTTTAAATTTTTGAAATCGGTTCAGGTGTTTTTGAGCAAACCTCGATGAAAGGTCTAATTTTGAAAAAACGCGACTATTTTTTTCAATCTTTTTTTAGAAGACCATGATATCTATTAGCAAAAAAAAAGATTATATATATAAAGAAAATTATATAAAACCATCAATTACAAGAAATTGTGCCAGAGAAACTTTACCAAAAACTAATCAGCACGATTCCCAACCAATATCTTTCGAACGGTTTCTGAATTTTTAAAATCGATTCAGAATTGCGGAATAGAACGTTAACAAAAATTTTTTGACGGGCGTTTATCGTTCCAACACTGAGTGCTCTTCACATTTGTGTCAAAAGTCGCTTTTCTAATGTGATGAGCCAAAATTTAAATTTCACAAATTTAAAACTCATTGGAATAAATTCGATGGAGAAACCGCGATTAGTTTTGCGAGAAGATCGGCGAAGCCATTAGATTTCGAACTAGCCAATTGACTTATTCGAGGAATAAAGACAATTTATTTTAGCCCATTAATACGTGCCTTCGGTGAATACCACATTAACTCTAATAAGAAATATGTTTAATAACTTTAGATCTTAACTGCAAAACCACTTCAGTAGTAATTTTAGAGAATTAAAGAATAAGTAGAAATTTCATTTCGATTGATTTGACCTAACAGAAGAGCTATTCTAGAATGTAATGTAATGCATATGTTTTGATATTATAATCATATTTATTCATAGAACAATAACAATAATAAAATAATAATTAAAATATGAATCATACAGTGACTGAGTAGGTTCTTAATCATAAGCGACTAATTCTCCATAATACGCAGTTACAGCTATTAACTTCTTGTCCAAAAAATTTTGTTCAATTTCTACAGATGAACCAGGTCCTGCCATAAGAACCAACTGGACGAAAAAAAATTATCAGTCATGAAATATTTAACCATTTTTAACATGAAAATGTAGCATACCTGATTTGCGTCAGTGTTTCTTGGCAAAAATAAAGCAATGTTCTCAGTAATATTTCTAGTAACTGCTAATAATCGTGATCCTGACACAGGCAGCAAGCTTTTTTCAACATCGTAATAATCATCCTGAAAATAATTATTTATTAATTACTATAACGGAATAGACAAATTAGTATTGTAATACTAAATTTTTAAAATCGAATGATTCGAATCAGTTTTTTGTGACTGAACTCAAATCAAACTTATATATATATATATATATATATATATATATATATATATCTTATATATAAAATTCTTCTGTAATAATGTAAGTTTCATAATTCCTTCTAAACTATAATTCGGACTTTCATGAATCTTCCTGAAGTTTGTTCGGGAAATTTTCTAGAATGTTTTGATTCATAGAAATATAGTTAGATTGTAGAAATAAATGGAAAAAATTACAAAAAACCGCTTATCATTGTTTGCCCTTGAAAATATTTGAAGCTTAGTTTGACATTAAAAACAATTGAAGACTGTCATTTGCCAATCATTTCTATTCACTTACAGGCTAAGGCAATATTAACATATAATATATTCATGATTATGAATAAGGAAAATGTCTACATTATTAATGCCGAAAAGCAGCTGAGATGTGCCAAAAATTAAATTAATATAAGATGCAAATAATATAACATGCGCCTGACGCGCACGGCGAATCGTGTTCTCAACGTACGCGTGGTTTGCTTTTGCTTGCAATAATTTTGTTTGCGCACTTTGCGAACAGATTCGCCGTACGAATTCGTGCAAAGGAGTCGAGCCATAAGTGATTGCGCTCAAAAATATTCAATTTACGGTCGTTTTGCCTTACTATACTAAGTCACAATACAAAAAAAATTATTTAGAAGTTTCATTGTGTCAAAAATTGTAATTTTACTTTTTTCAAAATAACGTTGGGTATCGATAAAAGAACTAATTATAAGAGAAAAATGTTTAATAATGTTTTTCAAAAAAGCAAATACTTTTCAAGTTACTGGCTACTGAAAATTTGTTTCTTTTTTGCGTTTTTCATCGTTTTTTGCTAATATCTTCAAAAATATACATTTTAACGAAAATCATGTAATGGACAAAATTATATATTACGCATACGAGTACAATGTTTTTTTTTTCATTTAAATCAAATAGTTTATGAGTGCCATTACCACCAAAATTAAAAAAAAAATCGTTTTTCATCTAGAATTAACTTGGTTTGAGAGATCTTGATGGATTCTAGAAAATACCATAACATTAGTACAATCGATTTTTAAAAAACTCACGATTTCATAAAAAAATCCATTTAATAAAACAACCAATTTCTCATTATAATATCTCTGAAAGAATACGTATAAAAGTATATATATGAAAATTCAAGGTATTTTTCAGACTAATTATTGGTTTTTATTATTTTTTTGTTACACAAATATTGATAGAGTTCTAATTGTTTGAAGAGTGCGCAGCTATCCAACCGGCGTGTCTTTCGAGCCCTTTAACCCTTCGCCGTTTCAAAATAAGAGAAGTTACGGTAAAATTTATGATAAAGAAAGTTGTAGCTCATTTAATCACCTTTAAAATAGTATATTATAAGTTATGATAAAATCAGAATTAAAGGAGTTATAATCCAATTAATACGAGGGGTGGTGACGAAATGCAAATTGTTTTCACTTCTGAACTTTAGATAAAGATTAGCTGGGCATACGCTTTTTTCCTCTCCATTTACTGCAATAATTTTGTTGATAGTAGGTTGAATAGAGCACATGTGAACAAAATTTTACCAAATAATTCACTTCAAATATGAACTTAAGTAATAATGTATATTGAATTATTAGTGTGAAAAATGCAATTTAGATATTAAAATACTAAAACCCAGTTAAAATATGGTACGAAATTATAAAAATTGTAGGCAACATTATTGAAGCAATTATTTTGGGTAGAAAAATCCAAGGTGATATTGTATCTTGACCGCGCATGCTATATATTAATTCTTTCTGAATTTGTTATACTTTTTAAAAGATTTCAATTTTCAACACGTGTATCTATGCTATGACAATAAATACATGGTGATAAATTTGGAAAATAATATTTTAGCCGTGAATAAACAAAAAATCATTCATTTAAACATCCACATCTACAGGTATGTCTGAAAATATTGTATAACCCTTAAATTAAATAAAATAAATTGAGCTATTGGAAATAAATTTGTTCTATAAATCGCAGTATATAATTTTTAATATATAATTTTATTGAATATATTTTAATATTTGTTAAAGGAATAATTAAAGTGTTAACTGTGGGAATTGAGAATAATCATTTTATTTGAAACAGTACTACATTTAACATCACTCATGTATTGGTGTAAATAGTAACTCGAAAAATAATAATGATTATTTTTAACTGAACGGTGTAAATATTAGTATAGGATATTAAAAAAACGTAGAGGTGAGTACAGAACAACGTCTGTCGGGCCATTTAGTATATATATATATATATATATATATATATATGTATGTATATATATATGTATATTTCAAAGTAACTAGCAGCCCATTCGTCGAAATAAAAAGGTATAAAGTATAAAAACTTTTATTTATACGTTTCGACACAAGATGCGTGTCATCATTCAGCAACACAGGACAAAAACACTCAACAAAAATTTATTTTAAAAAATTAAACTTAATAACATATTAGAGAAAAAAACATTTTTTAGAAAAAATTATGAATAACTAAAAGATTTGAAAACTAATTTGACTAAAAGTTATGAAATACATCACTGTGAAGCTAGAAGCACGCCCATACCGAGCATCTAGACTCGAGTGAATTGAATATATATATATATATATATATATATATATATATATATATATATATATATATAGACAAATTTAAACTAAAAATAACTTATCCTACAGGAAGTTAACTAGTGGTGCATGGCATCATGCCTTAAGGCAAATTGCTGTAACTTCCCGTACCGTAACAAAATGTTCGAGGAATATTAAATGTTTTCGAAATATTTATAAATACTGTACCATTGTCTAACATTTGTAAGAATTATATAAACTGAATTGCAAAGATAAAATTATTTATTTAAAGTATATAAGTGAGCTTTACAACTTTAGCAAAAATTAAAATTTGAATTATTTTCGATATACAGAATTTTTTTTCCAAAAGCAATTGTTTTACCAACACAAGCTTGAAAGTTTTTTGAATCATTCAAATAGTTTTCTCAAAAACTGCCATTATTTGCGCATTTAGCTCCGTATCTTCGAAACGGCTGGACCTTCCTTTGCCAAAAAACTAATCACTACTTCTCCCAATCATTACGAATTTAATGTTTTTTAGATCATTCAAATCGGATGCTCCGTTCTCTCAAAAACTCGATTTCTATTTTCTGCACTTTTTGCTCGGTATCTCCGTAACGGCTGGACCTGCCTTTGCCAAAAACTAATAAGCACATCACCCTATCAATAGGAATCGAATGTTTTTTTATTCATTCAAATCGGTTGATTCGTGCGCCCGAATACGCGGACGAAAAAATTCGGCCCATTTTGATTTTCGGCCCATAACTATAACTACCCTACGGGAAGATCATAAAATGAATATAAAAAATAAAATATAAATTAACCACTTCGCATACTTGACGGCTGCAGAATGCCCCTGATGATTTCAGGAAGACGAAGCAGCCGATTTGTTGGTTCAAAAATCATTCGATTCCTAGAGATCAAGTGAGATTTTTTTCAAAAATTTCAAAAAATTTTATAGCTTTTTTTAAAAAAAATAATTTTTGGTACGGGAAGTTCCAGCAATTTGCCTGAATGCACGATATCACGCACACACCCTTGCGATTTTTTGCAGCCCAATCGTCGAATTAAAAAAAGATTAAATAACAAAATTATTTATTCCATAAAATATTTCGACACTTGATGTGTATCATCATTCAATAATCTAAAAAATATATTATATAAATTCAAAGTTGATAATAAATATAAATATATATAAAGGAGTAAATTATACATACCAAACCAGGAAAAACAACAGAAAAAAATAATTATGATAGCGGTGCATTATGGACACTGGTCAAGGTTACAAAGCATGTGTAGTGATGGAGCGGGGTGGGAGAAACGAAAGGGGAAAGAGAAACTAGCTGTAAGTGGAATTCTGTCTTAAGGCAGTTAGGGCATCGTGCCTTAAGGCAAATTGCTGGAACTTCCCGTACCAAAAATTATTATTTTTTTTTAAAAACGATTAACATTTTTGAAAAAAATTTACTTCGAAAAAATAAGATTTTTGAAAAACTATAAATTGAACAAAAAATTACTTTTTTTTGAAAAAAATTTTAACTTATTGTTAAAATCTCTATGAAATATCTGAAAATTTGATGTGCATATGTCTAAATGATCATTTTTGACCGCCAAATGGCATTTTTTTTACTTTTTTCGTTAGATCTCCGAAACCGATAGACCTGCCTTTATGAAAATTTGATCAATTCTTTATCTTGTCAATACAAGTTGAATGTTTTTTGAATTATTAAAATCGGACGCTCCGTTTGCTTAAAAACTGAGTTACCGTTTTCGGCACTTTTTGCCCCGTATCTCCGGAACGGCTAGACCTGCCTTCGCCAAAAACTAATCAGCACGTCTTCTTATCAATACGAATCGAATGTTTTTTGAATTATTCAAATCGGTTGATCCGTGTTCCCGAAATCGTCGACGAAAATTTGTATCCGCACATACATACACACACGTACATACATACATGCATACACACACACACACACACACACACACACACACACACATACATCCATTTTTTCTAAGGTATGCCAAAATGTTCAGAAACCTCTGAAACGTAAAGATACATAAAAATTTTCATTTTCGATTTTTTTGCGATTACTATAACTTACCCTACGGGAAGTTAACAAAGAAGAAATATAACGAACGAAAGATTTTAAAACTGTATAGAATTACTTTTCATGAAATTAATGATGACTTTGTAACTGTCATGTAAGAGATGAGAGGAATTACGTTTGTTGACACAAGAAGTATTAAGGAATATAAGTATAAACTCAACTATCTTTCTAAAGTCACAATTTTGGGTTTTTTGAAGAAAAAAAACTCCCGCTGATAGGGTTACTGATTCTGTTTACAGGTTGGACTGCTATGATTGCAATAGTTGTTACATTGGTGAAAGCTCCCAATATACAAGAGGGTTAATCAACATATATATAATTCTCGAAACCCAAATCAATTTAAAACGAAGAATTAACTTGAACATGTCAAATCTTTCCATCCTATACATTGAAAAAAATTGTGACCTAAGAAAGATAGTTGAGTCTTTCAACAACAATTCGCTTTGCAATGACTATAAAATAATCCTTGACCATTTTCAAAACACCACCATATCTGAATGAAGTGTGTATTTTATTATTTTATTATTTTACCAAAAACATATAGACATCAGTCTTTTTACACTTTCACAAAAAAATTGTAAACAGAATTCATTCAGTATTTAGACGTCAGTTACTAGAATGTAACAAAAAAAATGTCAAAAATCATTAGTTTTAAATTTCTAAAATTTTATATAATTTTCCTTTTACATTATTATAAAATCTTTTAGTTGTTCCATTAAATGACAGTCTCGACGAAGACCGAAACGTGTGGTTAATTAAAGCTTTTTTACAACTGCTTTAGTTTTTTTTTACTTGGTGTTACTGCCCGAATCAAAATAACTCATCAAAATATATATCAACACCAAATTCACAAACTCCAATATATATATATATATATATATATATATATATATATATATGTATATATATATATATATATATATTTATATGTGTGTGTGTGTGTTGAAGAAGTAATTTTTTATGTGGAGATATGAATGAGTTCATCTAATTGTAAGACAATACATCAAATGAAATCCAAAGACTTAAAATAAGTAATGAAATAAAGCTATGAAACATGAATAATATAGATAAATTACAAAATATTTTTGCAAGAGTAAGTTATAATACGATTGGCTCTGAGGTTCAAATAAGGCATAATTGCTCAATTTAAAACATGAAAATTTTCTCCATTAAATACAAGTTAGTGCATAAATGGGCTAAATGAGGTGCTTTGCGCTATGTAAAACATTATCTATATCCACAATTAAAGATTAATCTTTATCTCTTTACCTTTCATTTGATGTATCGCCTTACAATTAGTATATATAATAGTAAGAAATGGCTTACCTTAAGATATTGTGGTCCTCCCCATGGGGGACTTAAAAAAACTACATCAGCTACCAAGGAATCTGATAAAAGAAGAAAATCGCCTACTATAAATTCTATTCGATCTGCCACTCCATATACTGCTGCATTATGTTGAGCAATACGGATTTTCTCAGGATCAATATCGATAGCAATTACTGAAAACAACCACAAAATACCTCATGTCAATCAATCAAAATCAGGAAGCAAAAAGGCTAAATAGATCAAGTATATATATAGTATAATAAATATATGCGAGCTAACCAGGAAAACTTTATTTTACAATGTCAGGTATTTCTAGGTAATTTCTAGAGAAGCCAAGGATATACTAATTTATTGTAAGCGTTTAAGGATATATATATATATATATATATATATATATATATACTAGCTGACCCGGCAAACGCTGTTTTGCCATCAAAAATATTTTGCCGCATTGCAGAAGTTTTTATAATATACATGATATATTAATGATAATGTTATATTTTTATTACACAAATTTCTTTACATTTTGATATTTAATTCGAACGCATCATAGTGCTTTGTTTATTTTAATTTTATTTATGTCAAATAGTGAAATATTTTTAATCAATGAATAAATTAGATTTTAGTCTGAATCATCTAGTACCATTATCTAAATATATAATTTTTATATAAATATCAGATTTTTTACTTTTGCATTTAATTGAAAAATATTGAATGTCAATTTCATATATCCAATATGCACTAAATTTTTAAATGCCAAAATATTTCCTTTTTGGTTCGAAATTTAATATAATATGATATAATTTATATCTATAATTTGATTGCCAATATTGCCTATAACATAACTTGGAATAATTAATTTATTTGTATCTTATTGAAGTCGTTAAAAATTCATTTTTTTTTGAACTGTCAGAATTTTGTTTATGATTAATGTTAAATTCAATATGTCGCTTTTTTATTGTGATCTATAACGTTTTAATCACTTATCATATAAATTTTCGACTGCAAATTGATATTCATACTATCCCTGAAACTAACATGGATAAAGTTCTGAGAAATCCGAGTCCAAATCTATAAAATGTTTGATTTTTGGCACTTTTATTAATTTTTTATCAATTTTCGTACTGTAAAATAATGGATGATTATTTATCAAAATTATAATATTTAGACTATAATTTTAGATGTATACTTTTTATTTTGGCATTGAATTATTTTCATTGAAATCAAGTGAAACATAAATATATTTATTCGATATTTATATAAAACATATAATTAAAATATGCATTAAAATAATATGTCATTTTATAAATAGTATTTATTACTTTGGTGCTTGATATGGGTATCAATTTGTAATAAAATATATTCTTTCTGACAAATAGTTAAAAACTTATTATAATTTTCAAAATTATTTGACATTTCATACTTCAAAAATTAATTCACTCGCATCATAGCGTTTTGTTTATTATACTTTTGTCATGTCAAATACGTCAATATTTATTTTTTATAAATTAATAATTATTTTAAGTCATCAATGAATATATTATATGATTGTTAAATTCATAAAAAAGTGCAAATTCAACACAGGAATATTGTGGAAATAAATATTTTTTTACGTAAAGATCTGATTTTTGACATTTGCATTTCATTTCAAATTAATTATAACTGTCAAAATATTTTCTTTTGGATCGAAATTTAATATAATTTGATATAATATTTAGTTTGTCTAGTTTGTTTTTGTCAGATTGCAATGATACCTTCAGATTGTACTATTCCATTTAAGAGGTTACAATTTTCTGTATGATTAACTTTTGCGATGGCAATCAAAATTTATCTCAACTCATATAATAATAATATTTTATTTTGATTACACAAATTTCTTTACACTTCGTTAATTAACTCGAACGCATGATGCAGGTGTTTTGTTTATTTTAATTTTGTTTGTCATTTTTTTTTTAAATTAATGAATAAATCAGGTTTCAGTCTAAATTAACAAATCAGTATCTTTATCTGAATATACAATTTTTTATATAAATATTTGATTTTTTACATTTTCATTTAATTGAAAAACAGTGAATGTCAATTTCATATATTCAATATGCAGTATATTTGTAAATGTCAAAATATTTCCTTTTTGATCGAAAATTAATATATGATATTTATTTTACAATATTGTGTTGTATCTATAATTTGTTCGGCAATATAACTTGGAATAATTAATTTATTTGTTTCTTATTGAAGTCGTTAAACATTTTTTTTGTGAAATGTCAAATTTTTGTTTATGATTAATTTTAAATTCAATATGTCGCTTTTTTATTCTGATCTCTGATCTATAAGGTTTTGATGAAGTTTTGGTATCCGAAATAATTTGGTAAGCTAATCAAATAAATATAAACTGTAAATCTATTTATATAATTATTTTCATAAATATTGACAAATGACATTTGACGATTTTCATGTCAACATTAATTCAAATTTATAAACATTGACTTTTAATTAGATTTAAAACTATAAATTGTGATTTTGAATATAGCATTTCATCTAATTTGGATATAAATGCTGGTAATATCTATATATGTATGTTTTTGAATTAAATTTTTTGAACTGTCAAATTTTTTTTTTCAAAAATCATAAATCTTTTTTTCTCGAGTTTTCCATACATTTTGACATTTGTCATTTTAGTGTTTTGTTTTTTTTTTTGGCCATTTTCTGTCAAAATTTTTAGAAATTTATAAAAATTATATATTTATATTTTAAATTTACTTTTCAAAATTTCCTATAACCTAAGTTGGATATATATGCACACAATGATCCAATAAAATTTAAAATCGGTCCAGTAGTTTGGGCGTCCATCGCGAACCAACATCGTGACACGAGATTTATATATATACTAGCTGACCCGACAGACGTTCTGTACTCATGTCTACAATTTTTCAATTTTTTATACTAATATTTACTGCTTAGTTAAAAATAATAATTACTGTTTTTTGAATTACTATTTACACCAATACACGAGTGATGTTGAATGTAGAACTATTTCAAATAAAATGATTGTTCTTAATTCCCACAGTTAACACTTTAATTATTCATTTAACAAATATTAAAAAATGTTCAATAAAATTGTATATTAAAAATTATACACTGCGATTTATAGAACAAATTTATTTCCAATAGCTCAATTTATTTTATTGCATTTAAGGGTTATATAGTATTTTTAGTCATACCTGTAGATGTGGATGTATAAATGAATGATTTTTTGTTTATTCACGACTAAAACATCGATTTTCCAAATTTATCACACTAAAAATGATCGTCTGCCTTTGTGATTTATGTCACAGCATAAGATACACGTGTTGAAAATTGAAATCTTTTAAAAAGTACAACAAATTCAGAAAGAATTAATATATAGCATTCGCGGCAAAGGTGCAATATCACCTTTTATTTTTTGAAATAAAAGGTTGCCTATAATTTTTATAATTTCGTACCATATTTTAACTGGCTTTTAGTAATTTTAATATCTAAATTACATTTTTTTCTCCAATAAATCAATATACATTATTGCTTAAGTTTATATTTGAAGTGAATTAATTTGTCAAATCCTGTTCACATGTGCTCTATTCAACTTACAATCAACAAAATTATTGCTCTGTGAATTTTTTTAATGTGCTCCAATTTACTTGATATTTTGGAAATAGGCTTATCTTTATCTTAATTTCAATGTTTTTAACAATTTGCACTCCGTCACCATCCACAGCATTAATTGGATTATTACTCTTAATTCTGATTTTATCAGAACTTGTAATACACTATTTTAAAGGTGATTAAATGAGCTACAACTTTCTCTATCATTAATTTACCGTAACTTCTCTTATTGTAAAACGGCGAAGGGTTAAAGGGCTCGAAAGACCTCTGGTTGGACAGCTCCTTAATTAATCATACATCTATCAATATTTGTGTAACGAAAAAATAATAAACAATAATAATTAGTCAGAAAAATACCTCGAATTTTCTTATATATATACTTTTATACGTATTCTTTCAGAGATATTATGATGAGAAATTGGTTGTTTTTTTTTAAATGTTTTTTTTTCATGAAATCATGAGTTTTTTGAGAATCATTTGTACTAAAGTTGTGGTATTTTCTAGAATCCATCAAGATCTCTTAAACCAAGTTAATTCTAGATTGAATACGATTATTTTTAATTTTGGTGGATATGGCACTCAAAGTATTTGATTTAAATGAAAAAAAAAAACATTGCATGCGTCCTTTATCTGCATGATAGCTCACTCATTTTACACGCAGAAGTACTCATTTTAAAGCTTATTTTGAGCACTATAAAAACCCATTTTCATATCTAGCCTAATAATGTTCCTAAAACACTATAAAATAACGATTTATTAAGATTTTAATTGATATAATTCTGTTCATTACATGATTTTCGTTAAAATGTATATTTTTGAAGGTGTTAGCAAAAAATGATGAAAAACGCAAAAAAGAAACAAATATTCAGTAGCCAGTAACTTGAAAAGTATTTCCTTTTTTGAAAAACATTATTAAATATTTTTCTCGTATAATTAGTTCTTTTATCAATACCCAACGTTATTTTGAAAAAAGTAAAATTACACCACTGAAAAGAAATGTCATCCACCCGAGAAGTGGTAAAGGAGTCTAAATTGTTTTCACTTCTGAAGAGTAAGATGAACCTAGTTCCAAAATTCCAAACGAATTGGAAAATAGTAAAAATTTCAGACCCAAAGCGCTCCATTGAGTAAATATTCCGTACCCAATGACAAACATATGAATTTTTGACACAATGAAACTTCTAAATAATTTTTTTTGTATTGTGACTTAGTATAGTAAGGCAAAACGACTGCAAATTGAATATGTTTGAGCGCAATCACTTATGGCTCGCTCCTTTGCGCGAATTCGTATGGCGAATCTGTTCGCAAAGTGCGCAAACAAAATTATTGCAAGCAAAAGCAAACACACGCGCACGTCAGACGCATGCGCAGACTGCATCACTTGTCAAATGCATGTTATATTATTTGCATCTTATATTAATTTAATTTTTGGCACATCTCAGCTGCTTTTCGGCATTAATAATGTAGACATTACATTTTCCTTATTCATAATTATGAATTTATTATATTCTAATATCGCCTTAGCCTATAAGTGAATAGAAATGTTTGGCAAATGACAGTCCTCAATTGTTTTTAATGTCAAACTAAGCTTCAAATATTTTCAAGGGCAAACAATGATAAGCGGTTTTTTGTAATTTTTTCTATTTATTTCTACAATTTAACTATATTTCTATGAATCAAAACATTCTAAAAAATTTCCCGAACAAACTTCAGGAAGATTCATGAAAATCCGAATTATAGTTTAGGAGGAAATATGAAACTTACATTGTTACAGAAGAATTTTATATATAAGATATATATATATATATATATATATATATATATAGTGGCGGCGCTAGACCATTCGTGGGCGTCGGCGGAATTCGTTTGCGAGGCCCCCCTTTTTTACCAGTTGCAAGTTGACTAGTGGTGCATGGCATCGTGCCTAAAGGCAAATTGCTGAAACTTTTCGTGCCGTAATTTAAATTTTTGAAAAGCTTTAAAAAAATTTTAAAAGTGAAAGAAATTGACTTTTTCTAATTTGAAATATTTTGTTGAAAATTTCGAACTTTTTTTCAAAGCAATCAAGTTGCGTTAGCTGCTTAGAGACGAAATATCGAAGCGCGTAAACGCCACGTTGCAGTCTAACTTAACTCACTATTAATTAAAATCTTTATAAAATATCTGATAATTTGATGTGCATATGCCAAATGGCTTTTGTTGTGCTTTTTTACTGGATTTCCAAAACCGCTAGACCTGCCCTTCCTATAAATGTAATCAGTTTGGCACTTTTTGCCCCGTATCTTCAAAACGGCTTATCCTGCCTTTGCCAAAAACTAATCATCACGTCTTCTTACCTTCAATACATATCAAATGTTTCCTGAATTTTTCAAATTGGTTGAGCCATGTTCGCGAAATGTCGACGAAAATTTTGCCAAAATGTTCAGAAATCTTTAAAGATATATAAAAAATTTTGTTTTCGATTTTTTTGCGATTACTATAACTGTATATGAGATTTATTTTTAATCAGATAAATACACCAATTGAAATAGGCAAAAATTACACAAGTTAAAATAAACAAACTCTTCGGCAAAAATGGTTTGTTCTCCAGCTACTAGAAAAGCACTAAAATTAAATAATTATCCCGAAAAAGTTTCCTTTTTGCTAAACCATTTGATTAGCAAATTTTATGTTTTTTCGATCATTATGAATGAAAAATGGTTGGAAATCACCGACTTAATAACTAATTAGACAAAATTTTGCATCTGCAAGTGATTAATTAGATTTAAAAAATCTATAATCATACTAATTTGAGTGCACAATTCCGCACATCACATAATAGGTACACATCGTCTAAAAGCTCGTCCGATTAGTCTAAAATTCAATGAGTTTTTGTAATTAATCATTTATCGTAGTTCCATAAAATTTATGTTAGATGAGACTATAATTTTTATCTATAAGTTTTTTTTGAAAAAAGATTTTTACAATAGATTAGGAAGAAACTGTGCGGTCGATCTTGACGAAAAACTATTCAGCACGATCGCCAACTGAAAACTTTCGATCAGTTTTTTGAATTTTCAAAATTGGTTCAGAAATGTCAAAATGTCGTTTACTTAAGAGTCTTTAATTTTTTGTCGACGACATCAGAGCGGATCAACCGATATAAAGGATGTAAAAAACATTCGATTCGTGTTGATATATTGTCAAAGTCAGGTTCAGCGGTTTCGGAGATACAAAAATAGTTCAAAAGGTTATCAATTTTATTTGAAAAAACTGATCATCCCAATAGAATGATTGAAAAAATATATTGCTTGTGTTGACGGTGTGAAACAATGATTAGTTCCAGATTAACAGTTTTTGTTATTATATCATTGTTATTTCTCATTGATCAATTTTTATTGATCATTGATTACTTTTATTCCTCAAATATTTAATTACTGTTTCGATACGTTAAGAATCCCACTCGTATATATTCCCAAAAAGAACGATGATTTACATTGTGCTCACATAAGAAATACACAAATATAAACAACCAGAGAATTAGCTCGCGCAAAGTTGTTTAGATTTAATAATCTATAGTGTTGACAGACGATATTAGATAATGTACATAAAAGATAAGAGAGTAGAAAAATGATAGTGCCTGTAAACCACTAATCACCTTCTTTACTCGCACAACCGTATGAAAATTAACTAAATTTTAAATAATTAAAATCTTTCCGGAGCCTCTTGCGAGGCCCCCTCCCAGGCACGAGGCCGTCGGCGGTAGATATATATATATGTTTGTGTATATGTAATGTGCGTGTGTTCTTGCTCTCACCTCTTTCACAAATCATGGCAAATTGTATTGCATTGCCCCCCGCCCCGCAGAATGCATCGATGATCAGATCGCATCTACATCTCTGCGCAGTATGTTGTGCAACTTTTTCTGGACTCACTGAGTACCAGCTTTCTGCAATTGCATTACAAATTCTTCAAGTTAAAGCATGAAGTATACCAAAATAAGAAAAACTAGGTTACTACTACATTTTGATTTAAGCGAGTTACAGGATTTTTTCCATATATGTAAATAATAGACTAAATTAAGCAGAAGTAAGATTTAGCTATTTAAAAAACATTTTCAACTATTTATTTCAAAAATAAAGTTTTCACCCTCACAATGTGATGTCCAATTGGTCTTTTAAATTATAATTTGAAATACACATTTGAATGTATTAAAAGTGAGTCCATTATTCGAAACTTAAATAAATTTTTATATTTCAAACTCTTTTCATAAAACTATAATATTTTAGGATATTTGTTTAGAACACGAACTTTATTGCAATGTCGAGTTTCAGTAGTCACGCAAAAAAAATCTTTTAACATTTAATTAACAAATGAACACGATTTCCAACTAATATCTCTCAAACAGTTTTTATATTATCTATAATGGTAAAGATTTTAATTTGCGAAATCGTTAGCAATAAATATTGCACTTCTCTGATATTTCTGAAAAAATGGATTCTGGAAAATGGATGACAAAAGATCCAATTTTGCCTCACAAGCACAGCATTTCCAATTTTAATCTCAAGCAATTTAAAATGACTTGAAATGTTGAGGTAACAAAATTAGCAAGTCAGATTATCTGGTAAAAATATGAACTACTCTTTTTGCAAATCAATAAAATTATGTGATAAAAATCATATGTTAGTAGTTAGTTACAGGTTTTATTAATAATTCTATGATTTTCTGACAATTACACTGAAAGATATGTAGAGCAGCCAAACTGCAAGATTTTATATACTTCAAACTTTTTATATTAAAGATAATGACAAAACAATGATCAATTTTATTTGCACAAATATTGAATGTTTGTTCTATTAATAGAACCATGATTCCAAATATTATTTAATACAGTTTAGTGATGCAGAAGTGTTTCATTATCGATTATTGTGAATTAATTTGAATTATCAATCATTTTTGGATAGTAAACTATGTTTACAATATTTACTTTGTCAAGAATATTAGTCAAATTCAACAATTTTGATCGCTTCGATTATATTTATTAAATAAATACATGATGGGCTTTTTTTTTGGTCTTGGCTTTCATTTGTCCATTTATAGACTTGGCTCGAGTTGATTCGAATCATTTGGATCACGAAAATTTGAATAACAAATGTATGTTAATTATATTTTATAACATAATACTTAATGTAATGGCACATTTAATTATTTTAATAAATATGTAGATTGAGAAATTTTTACCTGCATCCATCAGTATGCCCTCATCAAATTTTGAAAATAATGAATATCTTTTGTACCAGTATTTAATAAGATTTTGATTACATTCAGATTCGGAAAGTAGTTTTAAAATCTTCTTTGGTTTTTTTCTTTTTTTCCTTTCACGTTTTGTTTTACCATTGGCATCCAACAAACATCTGGTACATTTTTCTTCACTAACATTAGTAGCATTGAGTTGACAAGAATCATTGAAGTGCTGCTCAAATTCAGTATTGCAAGAAGAGCAAGACATATTTAAATCCAAGATATTATTTGTTAATTTTTGTGCGGTAGGTGAAGTTTTATTAATCTTTTTTAGGCACTCCTCATCTGAAGAATTTAGTTCTGATGACTCTTTATCAACATTCAACTGTAAACAATAAAAGATTCTTCATAACAACTTCAAAATAAAAAGTATAGATATAAATGGATTTCTGCCATGAAGCAAGTTGATTATGGTTCTCTATATCATTTTTTTTTCAATAATGATTATTTACATGCAGTATGTTGTTTGTATGTATGTATGTTTAGTCAAAATCTAGTTTGATCTAAAGTCTCAGTATTTTTTGGGGCAAAAACCAGCCCAATGTTTATCAACTCAAAAAATATATGTAAATAATTTATTATTATCTTTTAATTATGAAAAAATCAGTTGAACAGAATTCAATTCAATTCTATTATATAATGAATAAATTTAAAATTTTCAAAATAGATTCAAGACTATTAAGTATAATAATTATGATTAAATCGATAAACAACCTTAGACATCAATAAATAAGCTGAAAATTAAGCTAAACAGAAAAACTCTTGCTTGATATTTACACAACATTCAATGAACATAATTTTTAAGAAATAAAATTGCTGGTGGAGAACGTTTTGACAAAATGTGACCCTCAATATTTAACTTTATTTTACCACAAAAATATGGCAATAAATTTTATATTGTATCAAACTGTTTTATAAGGTTTTCAAATTTTGCAAATCTATGAAAATAATTTTATTTTTCAAATTTAATACTAGAATTCTACAACAATAAAATGCATTTTATAAATTTACATTTTAAAATATTTCAGCTTTTTTAATGCAGTAAATAAATAATAATACTCACATTGTTTAAACTTTTAGAAGGATTTCCTTCGTCATCAAAATAAACATGTAAGGGCTCTTCTCGTAATAAAGCAGTTTCATTTCTATGAAGTTTAAATTTTAAATATTTATTTTGAAGACGAATATTTTTCTTTCTATAAAGAACTTCGGCATCTTGTAAAAATTGCTCTTGATATGTATTATTTCCAGAAAAACCAAAACCCATAAATGAAAAGGCTGCTTTTGCATTTTTTAATGCATCATGGTCTTGTTTACTAAAATAAATAAATTTTTAATTTCACAAAGTTATATAAACATTATATATTATATAACATACTCCAAATTCGTAGTATCTTTATTCTTAACATCAATATTAAGGTTATGATGTGCTTCTTGATTTTTTACTGCGTTTTCTGATATATGAGAATTATTGAATTGTTTCATTACAGTTTCTGTATTATCTTGTTTGCTGTTACAATTAATTTTCCATTCATCAATGTTTGCTGAATTGAGGTTTTTTAATAATGCTCCAACAGACATTACATATTTATTGCTTTTATTTTTTTCTCGCAATCTTTTATTTTTTACTTTAGAAAATAAATTTTCATGGGCTGGTGCAGGTGCAATAATGGCATCATCATTTTTATTTTCATTAAATAACATATGTTCAGTAATATATAATGCATAATGCTTTGCATATAATTCTTCAACATGTTTTTTCCACAATAATTGCCAATATTGATCTGAATCCATTGCATTATCACAATCTTGTGTTGATGAGCTTGATGAATTATCCGGCCAAGAGCTACTGATTTCAGGCTCAAACATAATGGCATCTGCAGAGTTTTTTGAGCTTTCTGAAGTCACAATACTGCTATTCCACTCGAAACTTGACAAAGTCAATTGGGTTACATTAGTCATAGAATCTGTATCTATATTACTCATGGGAACACTATTAGAGGATGCACACCTAGGTTGTGCTGAGGGATCAACACTGCTATTAATATCTAAATAATTATCGCTGTTGGATGGGATACCGGAATTAGAACTATTGCCAAGAGTTGTAATTAAAGTTAGATTTGTTGTATTATTTGGTGATGAACTATTTCGATTAATGCTATCATTAGGGTCTAGCAGATTCGTATTGATATTTTGCTTAGAAAATTCTGGATCTATATATTCACTATATTTCTCAATCCAAGAAGCCCATATTAATCTCTCACCATTCAATGTCCAGTATTTATCCCATGTTTGGCATTCTAAATATTTTCTACTCTCTAAATATTCTGCACTTTCATCATATTTCCTTGTTTCATATAAATTTGATTTATGTTTCCCCATATCACTTATTTGATCATTACAATAATATTCAGATAAATCAGCTCCACTATCACTTGACTGAATTTCCATTTGAGTTTTACTACCAGTATTACACAATTCTTGAGATTCACATTCATCAGGTGAAAAAATTGCACTTATTCTATCTGTATCAATATCATTCTAAAATAAAATAAAATAAAATAAAAGATATATTAATATTTGTAATATGTGACCATATAATTACCTCATTCTCAACTTCGATTTCATTGAAGGATCCAGACTCATCATTAGTGTCGTTGCAACCATTATGTTCATAATTAATATATGCTAAACTATTCCTGTAATAAAAATATAAAATAACTAAATTATTCTGTAAAAAATATATTGATGGAAAGTTATTCTGACCTGCAAAGTACTCTACTGCAAACACAATATATATATCCTAAGTTCTCAACAGCATTAGAATCGTTTAAAATGAAACTTAATTCAGCTAATATAGTAACTTCAGATACCATAATTCGTAACTTAGAAAAGTATTACGATAGCTATTTGAAATTTTGTTTAAAAAAAATTCTGTTACTATGTTTAACACAAAAAAATCTAAAAATTACATCCTGAACAGAGTGGTTTTATTTTAAAATGTTTTCACTATCTTTATTAAAATTGGTGAGTATCTTAAATATTATAATTCTGATTACACAGCTATGGATGGCACAAGATTAAGTCAAATATAAATAATCACCCTAGATAAAACATAATGCTTATCATATCGCTAAAATGTAACCTAATATTTCTTCCAGTTTCTTTTTCATAACATTTGTCAGAATGACATTTAGCAAAGTTGGAACAAAGGTCCGCGTGGGGCGCGAGGATCGCCCAACTATTTTGCTATGCTTATTTATCTATGGGCAAGAGTAAAGGCATAGGCATAGATAAACAAGTATAATAGATCGCTATGTCTGGCGGTTTGACGTTACCTCGATTGGAATACAAATTTTTAAAAATAGATGGCAGCACATGTATAATATTTAAATTACCCCTGGTTTTGCTTCTTAATTAGTACGTATCGTATACAGCCCCAAAAACCTGAATAATTTTTAATATTGGAAATAAGAACAAATCATACGAAATACAAAATATATATTTTCAAAGATATTACATATGTTGAAAGAACAATTAAAATTATGTTTATATTAACAATTATAATTACAGTTATAGAATGTTTGAAAATATAATAATTATTATACATAATTATAAAAGTATTATAATTTCACAATTATGCTTAAATAAAATATTTCAAAAACTAAATATCTAAGTGAAGAAAATCACAGAAGTATTTAACTAAACTAAGCACAAATAACTGACTAATATTAATTACTTAATGACTAATATTAATATATTAAAATCTTAAAAACTAAGAAGAAACTACAAGCACAGGAGCACGCAATGAAATTACAAATTTAGAAGGAATGACAAATAATACAAAAATTTAAAGGGTTAAGAAAAAAACAAATAATTTGTTAAAAAGTACAAATACTTCACAAACAAAAAAGTCCTAAAAACATAAAATATATATATTGATATCAAAATTGAGAGAAATTCAAATTCCTAGGATTAAAACTCATTTACAAGACATTGTTCTTTATTAATTCTGCATGTAATAGTTATTTCGCTATCTAATGAATTAATAGTAAAGTTGCATTTAACAAAACCTTTGAATAGTTACTGTACGAGTGTTTTATAACATTACATTTAGCCATGTTCCATCATGAAAACATTATCATTGAAATTGCCATAAAAGATCAACAAAGTGTTTACAATGAACAGAATAATGTTTTATGCACATACAATTGTTTATGAATCAAAAGATAAAAGCAATATTTTTGATTCCCAAGGTCGGTAACAAATATATCTTGAATTTAAACATTATATTGGGATGTTACACAAGTTTTATTTGAAGAATATTATAACACTAATCTTCAATCAAAATACATTAAAATATTATGTATGGTATAGACTCTCTTTATAAGTGTTTACATTTGCTAATGTAATAGATAATCTTATTAAATATAACAATGAACTTACGTTGATGAACATTTAAACCAATACTAGTTTACTTTATAAGTGTTCACATTTGCTAATGTAATAGATAATCTTATTAAATATAACAATGAACTTACGTTGATGAACATTTAAACCAATACTAGTTTACTTATTAAGTGTTTACATTTGCTAATGTAATAGATAATCTTATTAAATATAACAATAAACTTACGTTGATGAACATTTAAACCATACTAGCTGAATAACTGTTTTGCAACTTCAACAATATGAGATTCAATCCAATCATATAACAATTCCGAAGATAATGGTATTTCATCAAACATCAAAACACAGTATCTGCTACTAATACTTTTTAAAAGAAATAGCTGAACCTAATGTTTTAAATAGACACTCATAAATACCGCTATACACTTGTATCTCTGAATGCAACTTTCTCAATGTTTGAGGACATGGCAAAATAAATATTTGTCTCCAAAAATAGTAGACCTTTGGAGACTTTTTGTACGACTTATTCCTTAAATTATTGCATTGTTTATGAATCCTTCTTGTCATTACATATTGCATTCCTTGGTTGTCAAAAGTACTCCTGCGCTTTGTTCGTGCATTTTGCAGCAATTTGCAGGTACCGCCAAGACACCTATTCAATATAATAACATGTTGACATATCTTGATTATATATAATTATTGCTGCAATTATTATTAAAAAATACCTTTGCGGAAACTTGTATTGGAATAGCTAAATATTTTAACCCGCACTTGACACTTTTTTGGGTACTATAAAAACACTTTGCCATATTAAATTTCACAAATGTTCACTTAAACAAAATTAATTAATTAGAAACCACACGAGTTCAAAAAGTTAGGTTATTCGTACAGCCATACAGCGATCAAATACTTGACAGCTACTTGCATGAACCACGAACAATTTGTAGTGGAAATTGAGTGCACATGAGCCATCTGTTTTTAAAAATTGAAACTACTCAGGACCAAAACAATGCAACGCGCATTTGTTCGAAGATAACTCCCCATGGGCATAGGCATGTAAAGTAAACTAGTATTGGTTTAAATGTTCATCAACGTAAGTTCATTGTTATATTTAATAAGATTATCTATTACATTAGCAAATGTAAACACTTATAAAGAGAGTCTATACCATACATAATATTTTAATGTATTTTGATTGAAGATTAGTGTTATAATATTCTTCAAATAAAACTTGTGTAACATCCCAATATAATGTTTAAATTCAAGATATATTTGTTACCGACCTTGGGAATCAAAAATATTGCTTTTATCTTTTGATTCATAAACAATTGTATGTGCATAAAACATTATTCTGTTCATTGTAAACACTTTGTTGATCTTTTATGGCAATTTCAATGATAATGTTTTCATGATGGAACATGGCTAAATGTAATGTTATAAAACACTCGTACAGTAACTATTCAAAGGTTTTGTTAAATGCAACTTTACTATTAATTCATTAGATAGCGAAATAACTATTACATGCAGAATTAATAAAGAACAATGTCTTGTAAATGAGTTTTAATCCTAGGAATTTGAATTTCTCTCAATTTTGATATCAATATATATATTTTATGTTTTTAGGACTTTTTTGTTTGTGAAGTATTTGTACTTTTTAACAAATTATTTGTTTTTTTCTTAACCCTTTAAATTTTTGTATTATTTGTCATTCCTTCTAAATTTGTAATTTCATTGCGTGCTCCTGTGCTTGTAGTTTCTTCTTAGTTTTTAAGATTTTAATATATTAATATTAGTCATTAAGTAATTAATATTAGTCAGTTATTTGTGCTTAGTTTAGTTAAATACTTCTGTGATTTTCTTCACTTAGATATTTAGTTTTTGAAATATTTTATTTAAGCATAATTGTGAAATTATAATACTTTTATAATTATGTATAATAATTATTATATTTTCAAACATTCTATAACTGTAATTATAATTGTTAATATAAACATAATTTTAATTGTTCTTTCAACATATGTAATATCTTTGAAAATATATATTTTGTATTTCGTATGATTTGTTCTTATTTCCAATATTAAAATTATTCAGGTTTTTGGGGCTGTATACGATACGTACTAATTAAGAAGTAAAACCAGGGGTAATTTAAATATTATACATGTGCTGCCATCTATTTTTAAAAATTTGTATTCCAATCGAGGTAACGTCAAACCGCCAGACATAGCGATCTATTATACTTGTTTATCTATGGGCATAGGCATATACATACTTTTCTTTTATCTATGGCCTAGACAATATACTAATATAGACGTTTCTCTCTCGCGGTATTTGCTTATTTATCTAGGGTATTTGCGTTCAGAGAGCTAGGGAAAGTCACGAACGCAATATTGGGTGATGGCGCTTTAATCGCATGCGCTCGGCAGCCTCGTGCTCCTAAATGCATTCAAATTAAAGCGCCAAAATTAGAAATAAAAAAATTGACAGTTTTAAAAATAATTTATTTGTATTTAAATTTTGCATTACAATAGTCTTATATTGACATTGTTATACAATAACGAAACATACCAAATAATAATGCAGATATTAAAATAGCTTTCAAATTGAATAGGATTATGTTGCAACAAACATATTTATTTGAATAAATAAAAAAATATATAAATTTTAACGAATTACAGGATTCCTGCCTTCAGGTAGATAATCATTCATTATTCTTATGAAACACATAATCTACCAGTAATGTCATAAACACAAAACATGGTGTGTAAATTATAGTGTACGCATTACGTTAATAACTAATAATCATTCCAAGTAAGATTTGGCACTTTTCAGCACATTCTTTGCGATAAATACAGTCATGCTGAATGGCTCTTGACATTATCTTGAATATTCAATAAACTGCTGCATTAAATTAACTTATTTTATCAACTTGCACTGCAGTTGGATTTCGTTCATTAACTCAGTGGCGTTTTAAAAAAGTGTGATGTCTAGTCTATTTATATTTTTCCATATATATTTAAGAGCCTCCAAAATTTAATACAATTCTGAAAAGTTAGAGAAGCCTTGCTTGCCTTTCTTATAAAAGAGCCCTAGCTTGCTCTCAAAATGTACGAGGTGTGTTCAAAAAGTACCCGGAATTACTAATAATTAAATTTCGCGGGTCTGGAGTGTCTGATTGTCAAAATTTTTTTTTATTGTGTTGGTATACATGCCCCTAAAGTATGATGAAATTTTCAGCTATATTCACTGTTTACTTTGTCTGTGGTAGTCGCTAAGGTTCGACGTGTTTTTCTGAGCTCGGCGATTTTTACAATGGAAGAATTGAAAAGTCAAAGAATTTGTATTAAATTTTGCGTAAAAAATGAAATAAAGTGTTGCAAAGTGCAAAAATTCACCAGATATGGCTCCGTGTGACTTTTTCCTATTCCCAAAGTTGAAGAGACCCATGAAAGGACGGCGGTTTTCCTCGATTGAAGAAAATCGCTGAGAGTGCTCAAGGACATATCAAAAAGTGAATATCAAGGGTGCTTCGAAAATTGGAAAAAACGCTGGCATAAGT